ACACACACACACACACACACACACACACACACACACACACACACACACACACACACACACACACACACGTTAAAGCACATGTCTTCATAAACACTCTGACACATGGATGGACACAACCGTGTGTCGCCAGGCAAACTTTAAAAATACATTTTACATATGTATATATATATATACATATAAATAAAAAGGGGTGCAACAATACATGTACCCATATCGAACAGTGCTTTAGGTTCAATACACACTTGTATCAAACAATACAGATTTTTAAAATTTACTTTATCATCTTGTCTTCTGAAGATGCTCTGTGTTAAAGGATCAGTGGATCTGTGTTCGACTACTCCACCTAGGCTGCATTTTTGAGCGCAGATCCACTGAGAAACTTGTTTCAGCAACATTTAATCTAAAAACTGTACTTTTGAGGTTAAACAAATGTTCATAATTAATTTAAATAAATTACAAGTTAAAAGGGGCATGGAAATTTACCTTTTTTGTATCGAAAAAATATCGAACCGTGAGACTAAAGTATCGAACCGAATCGTGATTTTTTTTGTATCGTTGCATGCATATAATGCAGCTGTAAATTCCTCACTCTTCTCTTGTCGTACTGAGATTGATGTCCAGGTTGCTCTGCTTCCTGCCATGTAAATCGGTCCTCCCATCAGAAGTTATTTGGTAGGCAAAATGACTGGCTGGTTTTAACCACCCACTGAACAAACCACAGCCACGCGCTACTGACCCCTCTACACAGCCACAAAAACAAAAATTAAGATGTGGGGTAAGAAACAGACAAATGCAGGCCCTAAAAAGAACTAATACTGCCAAGTCATAAGTAGATTTTCTTTGTTTGGGACACTTTTTGATTGACRGCACGTAAAGTCATTGCTATTCTTTATCAATGTTTCAGCTGACATATTCACAATCAGCAAAATAACAGCATTACTTCACTTTTAATGAACTTGTGTTCACCCAACAACAAAATCATCCATAATTTTTCTCTCATTTTATCTTCATAACTGCATCAAATTACTTCGAACTTGTAGGCAACAGAGATTGTTCTATGTTTTGGTTGTAGCTTCAGTCATGTCTCCAGATTTATCAGTTTTCAACAGGTTGCATAAACGTTTATCACTTCTTGACGCTTTGGTTTCCTACAACTCCTAAAGGAAACATTCCCCTTTTTAGTCRCTAAGCAGGTTGAATTAGTTAGGTAAAAATAACAGTGAATGATGAGAGAACAGTTTGCTTAAAGTTGGTGAGATAAATAATATTTCAGACAATCCAGTTTTATAGCGCTTGGGTAAGAAAATCATCTTAATAAAWAGGTTTACCCATCAATTCCTCAAATTTTCCTCTATCAAAACTGTGAGTCCTGCAGTCCACTTTTATATGGCTGACCAGTAGTCTTGTTGGCTATCCATTACAGGTGTCCAAACGGGTCTGACAGGTACAGAGTTGCTCTCTCCTGCTGTAATGCATCTCAAGGAGGAGGAGGAGCAGGTTGGCGTTTGGCTTTCATGRTGAAATGTCATTAGAGCTAGGTGATCAGATGGGAAGGATTTTTTTTTACTTTACGTGATTAATAATCTACTACAACTAAATAAAAGCTGCTGCGGCCCTGCACGAAATGAATAAATCAGTGTATGTGTCAGAACATGGTTATCGTACCTTTTGTGTCTCAGTATCCAAAACAGCTCTAACTGCACCTTAGCAATGAATAAAGCGCAGCGGGAAGCAACAAAAGGACAAAGAGAGAATAGGAAGAAGACAGGCAAACGAACAGTGGGAGGGTGGAAAAGTTGGGGAGGGACAGAAAGAAACAGGCTCATTAACCTGGGAAGGAGGGGAGGACGAAAAGAAACGAGTAAGGAGGGCAACGCGTTCTTTTTGAATGAATAGAAGCACATAATGCAGACAATGACCTCCTGAGAAACAGGGAGAGTCTGAGTGATTGTGCTGCATAAAAAAATGCTAAAAAATCTTCAAAATAAAATGCTAGATTTAAAAAAAAAACTTTCAGAAACAAATCGCAACCGACGAGCCCGGACGAATYCACGACACAAGACATACGAGGCTGGACGTGGAGCCCACAGGCTCCGGGGAGATGGATGGTGCACAGGAGGAATCATCTGCAGCTGTCATCACCCTCTTTCCTCTTTCCCTCATCTGATTGCTCGTGTCAGGAGCAATCAGCCAACCTGTGTGTCCACACGTCCTCCTCGTCCCCCTCTGTCTGTCTTCTAATTGTCTTTTTCTTTCGCTGCTGGGGAAGGTTCATTTCAGCCCTGAATCGCTCGGTGGAATGAGCTCCTCCTGATTACTCCACAGCTGATAAAAGTGCAACAGTGATGATAATGAAAGTGATTTTTTTGATGATTACTGTAAAGACGGGCAATCAAAAAAAAAAAAAAAACCTCTGCAGGCAATTTACCAGCTGC